AGAAGAGCAGAAGAGGAGAAGGGGAGAAGAGGAGAAGAGGAGAAGAGGAGAAGAGGAGAAGAGGAGAAAAGGAGGAGAAAAGGAGGAGAAAAGGAGGAGAAGAGGGAAAAGAGGGGAAGAGGGGAAGAGGGGAAGAGGGGAAGAAGGGAAGGAGAGGGAGGAGGAGTGAAGACGGGGAGGGAGAGGACGAAAGGGAGCGAGGAGCGAAGGGAAGAAAGATCAGGGAGAGCAAGAGTCCAGATAGCACACAACTGCAACGAATACACAGAGCGCAGGGAGTGCAAGCGTAGAGGAGGCAGAGGAGATAGAGGAGTGGGAAGAAGAGGAGGGGAACGGAGCTTCTTTTTTTTCTAAGTTGGAGACTTATAACTGTGTTCTCTGGCCAGCAGGGACTCTCTGTCGACTGACTTTACCTCAGCACGGGCTCTGTAGAACTTCAAACGATTCATCTCACTTGCGATTCGCTCCAAGAGCCGGCTTCTCGACTCTTCTAGCCGACCCCCCTCGTCCGCATCGGAGTTTCCATTCCCATCACTATGTGTGCCATTTGCAATCCCATCGCCGTTCTCATTGCTTCCACCGCCAGAAGCAGCAGCAGCAGCAGCAGGACCATCTTCCTCAGGCATGGCTGTAAGCTCCAGAAGCAACTTCTCCACCTGGACATGCATGCAAGGAAAAGGCCATCACATACACAGAAAAAGAGAGAAAGAGAGAAAGAGAGAGAACAAGAAGAGAGAGGCAGAAAGACAAAGAGAGAAGTGAAAAATAGAAAGAGAAAGAGAGAGAAAGAACGAGAAAGAGAGAGAAAGAGAGAGGGAAAAACAGAGAGAGAAAGAGAGAAACAGAGAGAGAGAGAGAGAGAACGGAGCATGAGAAGCAGGGCATCAACAACGTACATAGTGATAGACAGAAGAGGTGGGGTCTGGTAGAACTTAACACACAGAACCAGCCACTCATCTGCTCTCTGTCCTCCATGCAGATGAAACCACCTGCCCCTCCCCACCTCCTCTCCCTCCCCTCCTACCCCCAATACGTCTATCAACCCCCTTGTGGATCTGTTGACATCCTTCCCTCTCCTGCATGGACTCAATGATAGAGAGGAACCGTTCGATGGGCTACCTGCTTGTTGCTTACGACGTTTCACTGATTTTCATAACGCATCAACGGGCTGTAATCCATCATCAGCTGTTTGCTACTACCGTTAACCACTGTGAAGCCCCGTTACTCCACGCTGACACCCGTTACCTGCTTGTTGCTTACAACTCTCCACTGTAATGTAATCCATCAGCGGCTGTAATCCATCATCAGCTGTTTGCTACTTTACCGTTAGCCCCCGTCAACCCCCGTTAACCCCCGTCAATCCCCTTTAACCGCCGTTAACTCCCGCTACCTCCTTGTTACTTACAACTTTTTACTGACTTCTATGCGGATCAACGGCTGTAATGCAATCCATCAACGGCTGTAGTAGAATCCACCAAGGGCTATAGTCCATCATCAGCTGCGTTACTTCCCCGTTAACCCCCGTCAACCCCCTTTAACCGTTAGCCCCTGTCAACCCCCGTTAAACCCCCTTTAACCGCCGTTAACCCCCGTTACCTCCTTGTTACTTACAACTTTTGACTGACTTCTCTGCGGATCAATGGCTGTAAGGCAATCCATCAACAGCTATAATAGAATCCACCAAGGGCTGTAGTCCATCATCAGCTGCGTTAACTTCTCCCCCCGTCAAACCCCTTTACGCACCTATACCTGCTTGTTGCTTGCAACTTTTTACTGATTTTCGTGGCACATCAACGGCTGTAATGTACGCCATCTAACGGCTATAATAAAATCGCCCAACGGCTGTCATCCATCATCAGCTGCTAGCTACTACCGTTAACCCCCGTTACCTGCTTGTTGCTTACACCTTTCCAGCGATTTCCATGGCGCATCAACGCCTGTAACGGCTGTAATCCATCATCAGCTATTCGCTACCATCGTTAACCACCGTTAACCCCCGTTAAGCGCCGTTACCTGCTTGTTTTTTTTTGTTTTTTTTAACCTGCTTGTTCTTTACAGTCCGTTACCGATTTTCATGGCGCATCAACGGCTGAAGTGTAGTTCATCAACGTCTGTCATAAAATCCATCAACGGTTGTAATCCATCATCAGCTGTTTGCTACCACTCCCGTTAACTCCCGTTAACCCCCGCTAACTCCCGTTAACCCCTGTTACCTGTTTGTTGCTTGCAACTTTTTACCAATTTCATGGCGCATCAACGGCTGTAATGTAGACCATCAACGTCTATCATAAAATCCATCAACGGCTGTAATCCATCATCAGCTGCTAAGTACTATATCGATAACCCTCGTTAACGCCCCTTACCTGCTTGTTGCTTTCAACTTTTGAGCAAATTTTCATGATGCATCAACTGCTAAAATAAAATCCACCAACGGCTGTAATCCATCATCAGCTGTTTGCTACTATCGTTAACCCCTGTTAACCCCCGTTAACCCCCCGTTGCATCCTTGTTGATTACGACTTTTTATTACTCATCTTCATGGCCCAACGACGGCTGCAATGTAATCAATCAACGGCTATGATCGTAAAATTCACCAACGGCTGCACTCCATCATCAGCTGTTTGCTACTACCGTTAACCCCTGTTAAGCCCCGTTAACCCCCACTTCGCAGAATAGAGCAACGCATGGACGGCAGTTGGTCACGTACCTCTACCTCTGAGCGGCGAACCTTCTATATAATAATCAGTCTATGGGCGCTCTATTCGCGGGCAATGCACGGTAGCGCAGACAGCAGCGCAAATAGGCAATCAAGAGGTGAATTACTCGATTCCGTTCGGCTGATAGGTTCGTCGTCGACTGGGCCTCGTCGACTGGTTCACTGATTGGGTACCATCAATTGATTGGTTCCATTGATTGGTTCCATTGATTGGTTCCATTGATCGGGGGTCATCAATTGGTTCCCCCAAGACTTACCTACCTTGTTCCCCCGACAACGCACCCTCATCATGACTGTATCAGACCGGAAAGATAGCTTGGATTCATTCACAATCGAGGTGAGAGTTTTATTCGATGGATGACGGTATCAGACCGGAAAGATAGCTTGGATACATTCATAATCGATCGAGGTGAGAGTTTTATTCGCATGGATGACGGTAAATGGTAGTGCAATCTCGTCCATTGATTGGTCCATATCTTGTTTACATTGAATACACACCGACTGCTTGATTGACTCCGTCGTTATCAATCGAACGACTACCCTCTTCCCGCGAATAGAACGCACGTTCATTATAGCTGTATTTGGGGCCATTTTCAGTCTACGTACAGCGACGATGACCGCTTACCGTCAGTTGCCGCGAACCCAATTAGTAATTCCTCGACTTACACTGAAAAGGTTTCACCATCATCAGTTTCAGTCTAAATCGATCATCAACAGACCGATCTAATCTGGTTACCACCACTATTGGTTAACGGGGACCCCCACTTTTCGGACCTGGGTAACCATCCCACAGGATTTGATCTCGTGATCTGTTCATTAAAATTTATGTGTCTACCATTACCGATCTAATCAACAGTTTCATGTGAGCGGATTATTCCTATGTAGGCAGGACATCTGCGCGTATCCACTGAACGTCGTACCCCCCCAAAAAAGGGGGGTACCTCTCCCCCCTAACCCCACCAAAGGAGGATACCCTACCCCCAAAACAGGAGGAAGAGACCACCTACCACCCCCAAAAAAGGTTAGACCTCCTACCCCCCCCAAAAAGCGGGAGGACACCACTCCTACCCACCAAAAAAAGAGGATAGGAGGATACCCCTTGTACCCCTCCCAAGAAGGAGGATACCCCTTGTACCCCCCCAAAAAGCGGGAGGACACCACTCCTACCCACCAAAAAAAGGAGGATAGGAAGATACAGGTCCTACCTTCGAAAGAGGAGGAGGATACCCCTTGTACTCCCCCAAAAAAGAGGATACCCCTTGTACCCCACCCCCAAGAAGGAGGATACCCCTTGTACCCCCCCCAAATAAGGAGGATACCCCCTGTACCCCCCAAAAAGGAAGACACCCCTCCTACCCCCAAAAAAAGGGGGAATATACCGTTCTTATCTCCAAAAGAGGAGGATAGGATACCCCTCCTACCCCCTCAAACACCCCTCCTACCCTCAAAAAATGAGGAGGATACTCTTCCACAATTGTCTCTGTTTTCTCCTCGAAAATATGGATGCCTCTGAATCTGAAGGGCAAGATTCGTACTACCCAAAGGGAAGGATATCCTGCTATGTCCGCTTTGTTTTCTCCTCGATATTACTGTACTATCTCCCACCTTCCCCCTAGTCTCT